ATGTCCTTTCTACCCCTCTGCCTTCTCCAAAGAGCTCCTCCTGTAGCTTGGGAGCTCTGTGCCTCCTTTTTATCCTCTTCACCTCTAAGCTCTTCCTGAGTCTTTCTCTTTCCAGAATATCCCTCCAACACCCCTGCCAGCTGCTGGCTCTTCAGGGTCTCTCCATCCTTCTCCCCCCAGTGGGACTCCTGGTTTTTTGTTCCCTCTTGTTCCTTCCTCCTGGATCCCAGCACATCTTCAGTCCCTTTGCTGCTGGACATGGGGAAACTGGTTCTTCCACCTGCTCTGTATTAACTTGCTGGAGAAGACAGAGGGAAAAAAATAGCTGGGCTGGGTCTCTGAGTCTTCCCCTTGGGATTCACCCCCTTCCTCCTCTTTGAGTGATCAGGACTGTGCTGGTCAAACCCAGAACAGATCAGAGGGCAGAGCAGACCCCTCTGGGCCCATCCCAGTGGGAATCCAGCTGGGTGACAGGCACACACACCAGCTCTGAGGGGAAAAAAAAACAGGCCCCAGTTTATCAATTCCCCCAAGTTGTCTGTCCCTGCCTTCAGAAACCTTGACTGCTGCTTCAGGACTCAGTTTGAGGAAGGAATGAAGGGGGTGCAGGGCTGGGGGAACTGCAGCCTCCCCTGTCCACTGAGCAGGGCACTTGGCTCAGCCAGAAAAAGCCTGATCCAGCCTGGAAAACATGGAGAGCTTCATTAGAATGGGAGTCCTGGAATGTCACTGATGTTTGGGTGATGCTAACAAATCAATCTGCTCTCTGAGGAGTGTCCTTGAAAATACCAGGGAGGGGTTTTTGGTTGGTTTATGCCCATAACACACAGCATTTCCAGACTTTTAATTCCCAAATGTTACTCTAGATCAGTAAACGTCCTTTAGGAAAATGAACCAATTTACCTACAAGATGTATTTGCTGATTCCAGACATATAATGAATATTTCTAGCAGGCTTAGACTCCTGGAGGGTGTCTGGGGGTGACTTCCATGTGGAAACCCCATCCCTGGAGGTGTCCAAGGGCAGGTTGGATGGGGCTTGGAGCAACCTGGGCTGGTGGGAGGTGTCCCTGCCCATGCAGGGGGGTTGGAACTGTATGATCTTCTTTTTTATTCCTGAATTATGTGGAGCAAAAGGAAGCCTCAGGGTCCTTGGCATATGTTTTTCATCACCCTGCTGAGGTGGCAATCCTGCATGGAAGTGGGAATCTTCCCCAAGGTCTCACCAAGCATCAGGAATATCTGAAGCCACCTCCATCCACATCAGCCCTCTCATCAGTTTTCCCAAAGAAGGCAACTCCTGCCACTGCCCAGAAGCTGCCAGAGGTGTCCCCCTGCCTCCTGGAAATCCACAGCTGCTCAGTAAAGCAGGTGGACTTACTGACAGCTTGGAATTAGAGGGATTTGAGACTTTTCAACGAGGACAAGGTGGGAAAGAAGGACTGAAGGTTTCTCCTTGTGGTTGGGTTTCTAAAAGGCTGTCAAAACTGGACAGTTGATCCCATGGGAAAACAGGCTGCAGAGCTGTGGGCTCCACTCCTCCCCACCCTGCCGAAGCAACCCTCTGGTTTCTGAGCAGCCCTGTTACTCCTGCTCCAAGGGAAGGTTTGCTCTGGTGCTCCTCCTGCCAGCCCCTTGCTCCCTGCAGCCCTCAGGGTGGCTGCCAAAACTCCCCCACCAAGGGAGAACTACTCCTTGCAATCCTGAAGAACCTGCTAGGAAGGGCTTGGACATCCCCCATGTCATGTTCACAGCTCCTCCTTATGTTCATTTGTCATCTGGGAGCCCCAGGGCAGGGTTTTACTTCTCACAGATTGGCCTTTAACTCAGCAGTTGAGCAGCTTCCAGGATCTTCCTGCTACATGCTCTGGTGTTCCTCTGGGATTTTCTCTCTCCTTTTTTTTTTTTTTTTTTTTAAGACTTTTTCAGCTTTTCCTGGGCTTCCTTTCTTATTTTCACCTTTCCCCATGAAAGGACCAGGCTGGGTTGTAGTGACCAGCCAACCCTCAGCACAGCAGCCCCCTCCAGCTCCACCACATGGAGCTCTGGTTTCACTCTCCTAAGGGAAAAAGTCCCATGTCTTGGAGAACCCAATCCAGCAGATAGGGATTCAGGAGCTTCTGCTGCTGTTTGTGCAGTGAAGAATTCAGACTGTGCACAAAATAGATCTGAGGGGGGAGGAGGAGATGGATTCAGGGAGCAGGACAACATTGAATTCAGCTCCTCCTGATCACCAGAGACATTTTCTGGGAGGTTCCTCCAGGAGAAATGCCCCTGCAGGGGTGGCAGGGCAGAAAGGAAGGTGTTTTCCAGAGGATTTTGTGGAAAGGGGGCTGGTGAGGCTTTTGGATGTGTCACTGGGATCCTCACTGCCCCACAACCTGGTGATGAAGCCGTTTCCCCCCCATGCTTGGCACTGGCATCTGTCCCCCAGGGGGACCCTTGGCAAGACTCCAGGTGCTGCTTGGAGGGCCTGGCAGCTTCCAGGCACGTTGCCTGCATCCCAAGCAGTGTGCGCAGAGAGGGAAATGTGATCCAGGCAGGAATGCTGGCCCTCCTTGCTGGGCTTTCAGTGCAAAACCTCACTCTCCATTCATCTTCCTCCTGCCTCCTCCCTCCCCTGCTGCATTTTGGCAGCAAACCCAGCTCCTCCAAGCAGCTTGGTGGACAAGGGCAAGATGACAGGATCACTTCCTCCTCCTTTCTCTTTCCTTTTCTGCATCAAAGCACGGGCTGGCTGTCAGGAATGTTGTAAATGAATAAGGAAAGGGCAGGGAACTTCAGAAGGAGCCTCCTCCCTCACTCACTGGGAAGCTTGGCCACTTCTTTCTTGCAGGCAGAGCAGGGAGATGACTCAAAGCCCATCAGCAAAGTGTAAACCTCTCCTGAGAGCACATTTCCCCTCTTTCCTCTGGAAAAGCAACGCCCAGATCTCTGTGAACCACACAGAAGGTCCATACAAGTTGCCACAACCCTGCTTGCAGGTCGGTGATGCCACAGATTGAAACGCCCCCCAGGGCAAAGAAAACCCTCCCAGAAATTCATAGCAGTGTCTGTTCCAGCTGGAGGGCACCTGGGAGCAGAGCTGGGATTCTGCAGGTAATTAAAACCTCATCTTGAGCCTTCCTAATGACTTCTGTCACAGGAGGCTTCCCTGAGACAAAGACACCACTGTTATTTTCCTGCACAACAAGGGGATCCCTCTTCTCCCCATACTCCTAATTCATTTTCAGGACAGCTTTGAGGAAGGTGCAGGATTTGGGAACTGTTGGTATTTGGTATCAAATGATCTTTCTTTTCTCTTTGGCCAAAGAGAAATCTAGGCAACCTGATGTGAATCACTCCAGAGAAGTCAGCACAAACAGCAGGATGGTTGGTAAGGCTGCAAAACGTGTGATACCAACAATATTTCCCTTCCTCTGCCACTGGAGCATTTTAATTTCATCTGTTCCTTTAGGTTTTGCTTTTATTTGGCTTTTATTTTTCCTTCACCAGAAGCTGCCCTGGGCCTTGAAGGAACTTGAAGCTGTTACCTGGTGCAAAGGAAGCAGGAAATATTCCCAGCAGTTCTTGCCAGTGGAGAGAGGGAATCTGTGCTCGTTGCTTTTGTAACCCAATAGCAGCTGTGCTGAAAAGCAGGACCTGCTAATTGCTCCCCCTCCAAAGCCTTGTCCATCAAATATGGGAATTGGGGCTTGTTTTTGTTAGCACAGAGAGGAAAAAGGTTTTCTGAGGAGTCTTTGCTCCCCCCTTGAGCTGCCTGGCTGTTTGAGGGGTTATGGCAAATGGCAAACTCTGTCAACAAGCCTGGTTAGAGGGTCATCTCGAAGCTGGTGACCTGCTTGAGTGGCTGAGGAGCTGCAGAAGCAGCTTCCTCCAAAGTTCTCTCTGGATTGGCTGGGCTCTCAGCTGCCTCTGCTGTTCAGTGTCTCCAGGGAGAGGATTTGACTTTGAATAATATCTCCTGACTGTCTTTCAAGAGGTTTATGGCTCAGCCAGGACTGTCCCCATTAATCTCCTACAGAAACACTGTTCCTGGGTTCATAGGCAGTTTCAGCTCCTTCTCCTCCTGCTCTGGAGCCAAATGAATTGGACACCACTGGGCTGTGCTGGGGAATGACTATGAGGTGAGTGACACTCAGCCAAGGAAATAAAGATCCTCACCTCAGAACATGCTGGGAGTTGTGGGGAGAGGCAGGAAATGGGAACGTGCAGAGCAGTCCTTGGGAATCAGGTTGATTTAGGGGACAGGGAAGTGCTCTGTAATAACTGAGGTTTGTAAAACCAACAGTTCTTGCTACAGGAGGTGAAAGAGAGATTAAATATAGATTAATATATATTGAGAGTCTTGAATGCCTAGAAGAGGCAGAAGTAGAAGCAAGAGAAGCAGATCATGGCAGAGCTGTGACAGTGCTGCTCTGATGGCTGCTTTTTTCTCTTTGTAACAAACCCTACCCTGTCCTAGAGCTGCCAAAAAAACAGTCAGGGCATGAACAGAGCAGGATGGCCCCAGAACATGGAGCCAGAGCTGGAGGCAGCTCTGATGCACTGAGGAGATGGCCAAACTGGAGCCCTGCACCAGAACCAGTAACCACTGGTAGGTTTGCTTCCTTGCAGAGCAGCTCAGACCTTGCTGCTCAATCCTGGAGCTTCTGGCTGCTACACACAAACCCACTGGATGGGGCAAAGAAAACACCTGTTCCCCTAAAACCAGCCTGTGTCCCTCAGTCCTGGGTTTTACAGGCCCAGTTTTTCAGCCTCAGAACTTCTCCAGCAGAAGCAGCTTCCTGAGAAAACCACAGAAGTGATGTGCTTGGCTACAGCAAGTGGTTCTGCTGTGACCTCCTGGAAGACTCTCTGCTCTCTCTTTTAAATCTGAGGACTCCAGAGAGCAGGGGAAAAGTCAGCATTTCTGGGTTTTTAAGTGTGCTCCTCCTGGCAGAGCTGGAGCTCAAGGTGCTCCCACCCCTCAGGAGGAGGGAAGAGCTTCTCCCTGCTCACCTGCACTCAATGAAGCACTGGCCCATCTGCTCCTGCAGGTCTTCCTTCATGTTGAGCCTCTCCCTCTCTCTCAGCTTCTCCTTGGTGAGGGTCTTCTCCTGGCTCTTCTGGACCTCAGCTTTCTGGGCAGTTACCTGTGTGGCAGGTGTCTGTGGAGCACTGCTTGCCTGGAGGGGACGAGGCAGGCTCTGGGGAGGACAAGAAAGGAAGAGGTAGGAATGGAAATGAACATCAACAGGTAGAGTGTGAGTCTGAGCTTCAGCCCCATGTACTTGTGGGGAGCCAGGAACAAGCCCTGTGCTCACAAGGAGTGACACAATGCTCTATTGTCCAGTGTTCCCAGCATGAATTAACCACACTGCAAGGTCCCAGCACAGCCCTCCCAGCCTGGGAGCTGAGGGAGACTGGTGAGAAAGCTGCTGCTGTGCAAACCCACCTTGACCTGTGGCAAAAGGGGAGCCAGGGATGATGATTTTATTTTTTTTTTTTTATTTTTTATTTTTTAATTGACTTTTCAAATGTCTGGACTTCCCACTGGGTCCTTTTTAATTACCCAGCATTGTTTGGGTGTTGGTTTTGTTTTTATTTTTAATGTGTTGAAGCTCTACAGGGCAGTGCTTGGCTTCCTGGCATTTTATTGCAGCTGCTCATAATCCTTGAGGAAATCAACTTCCCTTGAGGAACAACAACAACAACAACAGAAACAACAAACCCCCAACCTCTGTAAGAAAATTCCCAGCTCCCCACGTTTCCCAGGAGTTGATAACCTTGGCAAGGATGGCTGGGAAGTTTGGAATACAAGCATTTCTGCTCTGGGATTGATTTTTCACCTGTGCTTAGAGGGAGGGAAATGAAAGTCTTTCTGGAATGCAAAGACAGAGGCATGAGCAGCAGCAGCTGGGTGGGTGGTCTGGAACCCCTTTTTGCTTTGGGATGGTTCAGAAAGTTAAGATATTCCCAGAGTTTAATCATCTACTGCTACCTTGAAAACATAGGGAAAAGAATCTTTTCGGAATTAACTTTTACATTAGCTGTTTGGGTTTTTTTTCTCAATTCCAGGACAAAGTGTTTCCCAGACACTCAAGACTCATTCTCAGACATGTTCTCCTGGTGATAGATCTTAATTCCTAATTCCAGAGGTTTTCTGCAGAGACCAGAAGCTTTCCACCAAAGGTTAGGCCAGATTCTTTATTTGGAGTCTTTTTCCACCCTCTGGTCAGGTTCTAAGAAGCACTGCTGAGGGCCAAGGAACTTTGGTGGCAGCAAAATGAGTGCAGGAGCAGCTCCCTGTGACAAGGAATTGCACGAGGCCACTGCTGAGAAAACATTCAGGAGGACACAAGCTTGAATAGGTGACCCAAAATGTCTCCTTCACTGATGCTGCAGTTTCCTGAGAAGTGTTTTCAGTGTTTTCATAGAATCCCAGCCTGGTTTGCGTGGGAAGGGTCCTTAAAGATCATCTAGATCCAACCCCCTGCACGGGCAGGGACACCTCCCACCAGCCCAGGTTGCTCCAAGCCCCATCCAACCTGCCCTTCAACACTGCCAGGGATGGGCAGCCACAGCTTCCCTGTTCCAGGGTCCCACCACCCTCACAGGGAAGAATTTCCTCCTCCTGTCTCACCTCAATCTCCCCTCCCTGCTGGCTGTGTGGTCCCTCAGGCACTCACCTGACCCTGCAGTGAACCAGGACAGCTCCCTAAAGAGTGGAAAAGAGCTCCCTGTTCTCTTCCCTCCCCCAGAGCCTCCTGGTGCTCATTGTCTCAGAATAACCAGGTCAGTCAGCCCAGGAGGCTGCTGAGAGCCAGAGCCAAGTGCTGGGTGACTAGAGCAAGGAGAGGTGGTGACAGGAGGCTCTTCTTGGCCACCTCTGAACCCTCCCCCTCTGGGTCCTGGGGGAGCTTTTGGGGACCTCCTCACCCCCCTTTTCCTCTCAGTGCATCTTTCCCCAGAGCCAGAGGAGGTAAAAACTGTTTGAGCTGGCAAGAATGTGCCCACAAAGGGAAGACCAGAGAGAGAAAAGCTGGTGAGAGCATCTGCTCCTTTGCCTGTCTTCTACACCTATTGATTATGAATATTTTTCTAAATTAAAATAGGTGGGAAAGGGTTGATTGTCTCCATGGCAGGGAAAGCTCAGGAGGTGGAGGTGTTGAAGAGGAGCCAGCAAGGTAGGATGCCATGGCAGGAGACATATAAAGAACAAGAAACAAGCTTCAAAACTGCTTCCCTGGCCTGGAAGAACTGATCCCAGGGTGTTAAGTGATCAAAGAAAGGAGCTGGTTGGTAGGGAATAAAAAAAGATGGACAAGTTGAGAGTGGAAAAAAAGGAGGTAGCAACTTGCCCTAAAAATAGACACTTCAGCTGCAGGAGGTGCTGGAGAGACTGAGCAAGATGCCCAGATGATGTCACTGTGTCACAGAAACTGCTTTCCCTTGCTCCCAAAAATGATGCTTCTCTTTGTCCAGTGAAATGGATGGTGAGGGTGAGAGGGGGGATTCAGCTCCAGAAGGAATCTCTCCAGTCTTTGACCTTCCAATATTCAACTTTCCAGGAGCTCACGTGCTTGGTCTGGAGCTCTGAAGAGATCTCCTCTGGTCAGGGCTGCTTGTAGAGCCCTCCATGTGCACCTTCAGACAAAAGCCAATTTATTTATAATCACCACTTCCCTCAGAGACTCTCATGCTCCTGCCGCTGAACCAAAGGGAGCAAGACACTAATAAAAAGCTTTTCCCTGGGGGAAGAAGCATTTTTCTCTCTTGAACAACTGTCTCTGACCATGTGAAATTCCTGCTTGTGACCTGGCCCCTCCCAGGAGCAGCTCATTGAGGAGCAAATTACAGAGATGAGATGGAGAGTGGGGACTTGCTGCTACATGGGCTGGAGAATAATGCATCTTAACGAAGGCTTCCCATGTGAATGACCCTCCTTCTATTTACAAGCTTCTCCCAGTTAATGACCCAGAACTAGACAAGGAAGCTCCCATTTGTAGTGTGGCTCCCCTGCCAGCAGGAGAGGACATGGTCACAGTGGATGGTGCTGCAAACTTGGGGAAGAACCTGGAGATACCCTGAGTTCAGGGAAAAACAGGGCTCCATGGCCCCTTTACTTCAGATGCTTCCCTAAGGTTTGATGGGCTTGGAAAAATAAAAAATCCCTGCTGAAATTCAGAGGGCAAAAGGGCCATTTCTCTAAATAAGGGGAATTTGATTCCAACTCATGGGAAGTGCTGGGACTCCACTCCTGAGGTTTTGGGAAAGTGGAAGGAAGGAATTGGGTCTAGATGGTCTTGAAGGGCCCTTCCAAGCCAAACCATTCCATGATTCCCTGCACTTCCCAGTTTTAAAAAGGCTTATGAAGATTGTGTGGCCACACCAATTAGGAGCCAGAATTCCTGAACTGGGCACAAAAAAACAGGGAGCAACTGAGCACAGTATTAATTAAATCTGCCCTACTGTTTGATTCACTCCACTGGCTTTGCCAATTAAATGAATTTGCACTCAAACAAAGCCCTTGTTAGAAAAACAGGGAAAGTAGCTGCTTGGTAGATTTATATTAGATCTATAAATGTTGACATGCAGCATTTCTTAATAAGGAAAAAAAAGAAAGTGAAGAGAACATTTCTGTTCCTGCCCATGTGAGTTTATTTAAGGTTGGTGATGGTGATTTTCAGTTATTATCCTTGGGCACAATGTCAAACTTCTGCTAAAATTGGCAGGTGGGTTTGGGGCTCTGTGTCTCCAGCCACATTTTTTAGCAGGTTTCTTGCATCTTATTTCAAGAATGAGCAGGTTTAAAAAGCCTGCTGAAAAGAGGAGAGAGAAGTTATCACTGCTGAGATGGGGAAACTTGGTGCTGGCACCTAAACGTTCCCTGGGTGGCAAGTGAAACAAAAGCCCTTTTCACCTTATCCAAGAGCTGCTGAAATATTTTCAATTTCAGGTTGTTAAATCCCATCTGATATTTACCCAGCCTGTGGTGTTTACACAGGCTATTCTGGGAAATGCTAATTTAGATGTTTTTTTCTTGTTCTGAGGAGATGAAATGTATTATATTTATCAAGAATTCCAAGGAGGAGGAATGTTTGGCAGCCTGTTTTCTCAGATATATAAATAAAAGCATTATCCAAGACAACATGCCTAAATTAGGGTATGTCTGAGAGAGGTGAGGAGAGCAGTTTATTTAAGATGACATGGATCCTTTCATGTGAAAAGGAAATATCATGTGAGCTAATCATGTTTTGTGCCACTAATTGTGTTTACAATTGGGCTGTAACAGTCAAACAGAGCCAGGAAATACAGGTTTTCTTTGGACAGCACGTTTAAAAGCCAATTTAATGTGGTTTTTTTGCACCATCAGTGTGGTTTGGGTGGCTCAACCAGCTGGGACATGGATTGCAGTGGTCATGCTGGAGCTGCTGGCCTGCAGGAACCAGGTCAGGATACAGTTATCAAGATAGATGTGCTCTGAGAGAGGCTTTTTTCTCTTCCCAAATCCAATTGGGAGGGGTGATTTATCAGGGATTTAGAAAAAAACAGGTGCTGAGGGAATCATGCTGTTCCTGCAATTAGGCTTGAATAAATAATAATAATAATAAATAATGATGAGCCTTTACTCTAGAGCCAAGAAAAATCTACTCACTCATCAGGCAGAAGATGAAACAGCATCAAATGCCACAGGAATTTGACAGGAAAGCAGACAGGAAAGAAAACAAGGCTGAATTAAGTAGAAGAGTGGAAAAAACTCTTGGGCTTTGCAGATATTTTTGGCCAACACAAGTAGCTGGGTTTTTTTCCCCAAAAAAATGACTCTTCAGAATTTCAACTCCTTTTTTGCAAAGCTAAAAGTTCTAAGAAAGCAAGATGGAAATGTTAAAAATAGCTCCAATCAAAAGAGAAAACTCTATTCACTGCAGCCAAAGCCAAGTCTCCTTTGGGATGGGCTTGGATGTAATGGATGGTTGAGCCTTCTAATTTATCTCAGTCGTGCAGCAATTGGGAAAGCACATCCAACATATTTACACGTGGAGATAGAGGGAGGGGTGTGTGTCATTTTTTAGGGGGGCTGACACTTTTTAGGGGGGCTCATGTGACCCTAGATCAAAGGGACCTGACCCCTGGAGCTCCCTGCCCATCTGGCAGGGTGAGCCAAGGCCTGCCTGCCCTTTGGAGAGCAGGGAAGGGAATGCCACATGGAAAGGGAAAGGGAAACACACATGGGGAATATAAATCCAGATTAACTTTGTTTATCTCTTTAGAGGGATCCACTTCCCCCCACACAGACAGTGCTCATCTGTCACCTCAGTTTGGCTACGTGCTCCTCAGAGACTCCTTTTAAAATGGGAAGAAGCTCTGAGATGAATTTCTCCTCTTCCAGATGACAAAAAAAATAGACAGTGTAGCATTTTATATCCTCAAGAAACACCACTTACCATCCCCAGGAATATCATCTCCTCTTCTCTCATGATGTCTGTTCTCTTACGCTGGATATACCCACGCCAGAACTGAGCAGGGAAAAAACACACATAGAGGAGGGAAAGACACAAAATACAACTGAAATTATTGCTCTTTCACAGGTTGGTGCCTATTTAAAAAAAAAAACACAACAACAACACAACAAAAACAACACCACCAATCCTGAGGTTTGTGTCTAATCCTGCTTCTAGACACAACAATGTCAAATCCTGCTTCTAGACACAACACTGTCAGGGTTTCTACAAGTATTTAGACTTCAAAGTGAGAACTGCCGAAATCAGTGCCAGGACTCCTCCTGAAATGTAGCAGTGACCTCCCTTCCTCAGCTTTTCAAGACACTCTT